TCTTCCTATACAGTTGCCTAAAGTTCTCAGAGTAATGCAACAGCATCTTACAGGACCTGATCTATGTAGGAAGAATGAAGGCAAGATAATTGGATTGAATTACTAGAATCCAAGCTACCTGATTACATGAAGTTAAGGACATAAGTCTTCTTCTGTAAAAGGACAACTAAATTCAGTATTATGTTTAGCTTACCCATGAGGTTTCTCTTCCCTTAACAATGATATCTCACTAACCAGTTTGTGCTAACCCAATCATTACATTGGCAATCATCTGTTGTATGGTCATCTCTACTCCTTTGGAAAAATTGACTAAATTAGGTAGCCCCAACTCTTTTAAGCTAGTGCATATCTTTGTATCTTGATCCACTCAGTTTGGAGTCTATCAGCTGCTAATTTCAGAAAGTATATCCAGTAAGCGTAAACGTAATACAGTAATTGTTCATTTACTTATTTATAAACTGCTCTCACTTACTAGACCCTAGGTGGTTTATATCAAATTAAAGCAGATAAAATAGCTCGTAACCCAATAAAACACTTACCTCCAATCCAGAGATCCTCATAAAAACTAATTAAAAATAATGTAAATTAAAATAATGCTGAAGGAAAAAAAGATAAGGGAATTAAATGAACACCTACTACATTTCAAATGCTGAGCAGGAAAAAACATTTTGGAAGAGTTCCTGAAGTTAGTGTGGGAGTCATATTGTCTATAAGGAGAGGATGGCCACCAAAAAAAACTGGTTCCAGGTTTCCATCTCTCTTACTTCACAGGGGAGGGAATCTGAAACATCCCTTCTCAGCTTAAACTTCACAGGGCAGGCAGATTCTGTTTGAAGAAGATAGTCTCAAATGTAACTAGGACTTCTTATCTCCTGAGGGAACATCACTTCTCCTCCCTGACCTTGGAGTCTCAGCTGCTGAAGAGCCTGAACAGCCAGCAGCGGTCAAGCTACTCCTGCCAGTCCATGCCAGCTATTCTGCTCACATCTACCATTAGCAATCCTAAACCATCATTTCCCTGGAACTTCCCAGTCCCTTGATCCCACTCCCAAGCCTGTGGTTGAATATCCCCTTTCCCCTGCACTCTCATACTCCAGGAGGAACCTTCAGATCTATTCTCTGTCCCTAATCCAAAGAATAATTAACTTTTCTTTCAACTGATCCTTCTTACTGGCAAGTCCATACATGCACCCATGGCAGGTATCAGATTGCAGCACAAAGTCTGCAATGTGTGACCAAAGTCTGGTCACACATCTGTGGCCACCATCCCCAGCAACAACATAAGCAGCTGCAGCAACCTTCAGAAGCCAATGGAAGCCTCTACCCCTTTCTCTGAAGCAGTCTCAAGGAGTCCTTTTTTCATGCAGAAATTCTGAACCAAATATCTATTTATATTGGCATAATCTTGGATGGCAAACATTCTGCAGCATGGAGAACTACTGTAACTCCAAGCATTCTGTAGCCCCAAGAATGATATTATAGCAGTAGGCCAGAACAAGGTCACTACTAGTCACTTTCTCGGATGGGGGAAGAACAGAAGGATCCAAGCATCAGGAAGGAAATAAATCACTCAAATGATTCACTATAAATCTTAGAGTGATTCTTTTTTATGTGGTCTGTTTTTATGCCTGTTCTTTTCTTTTTTAAGGAACTAATTATTTCAGTAAATGCAGCTGCTTGAAAAGAAAGTAAGCAGCCTGAGAAGGATCCCCGACCTGGAAAGCAAGATTCACCATTGAAAATGGGTGGCATTTCTTCCCTTAGTCCTTGAGCTATGAATGCATTGGCTGCTACAGACTCTACTTCTGTAGAGTAAAATTCTCAGATCTTTTTGTCTTAAGCAACACAGTCAGTACCCTACTAAGTTCAATGGGAAGGCTAAAACAACAGAGCCCTCTACTACTGTGCTGTCCAAACTTTTCTTTCATGTGGAGCATTTTGTAGATCAATCAACAGAAATTGGAAACTGTGGCACACATGAAATTTGAGATGACTTCAGAGGGACCCAATTATTTTAAATTTTATAGAAAATTAAATGGCCAGCTTTTTGAGATGTCCAAATTGTGGCCACGTGGCCTTCTGAACCAAAAGGAGCTTCTGAAAATTTTCTCTTTTTCACATAGAGAGTCACGTAAAGCATATTTTGGTTATGAAATGCATATTGCTATCCTATGTATATTCATGAAAAAGGGTCTCTGCTGAATAGACACACCCTTATAAGCTATATATACTTTTATATATAAGCTATATATATAATATATATATATATTATATATATATATATAATAAGCTATTTT